AAAAAAAAACAATGGGGAGGAGACGTGCTTTTGATGTTGGGGTGTGTGTGGGGGTGGGGGAAGGGGGACTAGTGGTGGAATGTAGTGGCTCAAGGGGAGTTAAGTCATCGTACTCAAAGAGCTATATCATTGTACTCAAAGGGTTAAATCATCGTACTCGGAGGTTAAGTTATTGTACTCATGGGTTGAGTTATCATACTCATGTGGTTAAGTATATGTACTCATGGGTGTAAGTTATATATTGTACTCAAGGGGTTAAGTCTTCGTCCTCAGGGGGTTAAGTCTTCGTCCTCAGGGGGTTAAGTCTTCGTCCTCAGGGGGTTAAGTCTTCGTCCTCAGGGGATTAAGTCTTCGTCCTGAGGGGGGTTAGGTCCTAATCCTCAGGTGTTATAGACACAGGAGTAAATTTCACGTGCCTATATCGCTGTTATGATTTCACTCCACCTTCACTTTTTACCAGATAATTAACGTAATACTTAACACACTTGCTTGTTCCCTCCCATGTTTCCAGGTCTTGTTGTAATTTCCCCGCTAGAACATCAAGAAAATTAATTACCTTCGCGAAAAAAGGATAGGACGTGTAATTAGGTTCGTGAAGTCATCTGGAAAAACAATTAGCTTTGCCAGTCCAGCAGGAAAGTATAAATATTTTATTTCGTCGTGTCGTTAGGGTAAAACAGTCAATTTTCTGAGCCTGGGTGGTGGGCGTTCCTAATTGAAAACATTAACCAAGGAAAATAGTTTACCCCCTCCAAGGCCCCCTGAGTCGTCTTGAGGACTGTTTTATGATAGGTTTAGCGAGTCTTTATATAAGGGACAAAATATCTAACAAGTTTAGACATCATCCTTTTGGAAAATATTAATCAGGTGTTCTCAGGCGTATGTCCTCCCTATTGGACCCTAAACCAAGTGTCAATAATATTTTGACAAGATAACGTATCATTTCCTATGTATTGCTGTCTAAGTTAGATGAATGTAGGCCTGGAGACTTGATCATTATCCGGTAATACTCTTGTTCCGAGCCCCGATTGGTAACACTGTCTTGGAGATTTCAACTTGACCGCCAATCCACGTGCGACATCAGACTCAAACTTTGTCAACAAGTACAATGTCGTTTGTGTCACGCAAGTTTACTCTAAATTGGAAGGATATTATTTTATTCCTCTCAGCTGTCGGTGTTTTTTAGCGCCGCTGATGTTAAAATCTGATAATTGGGTTAGAGGATGACTGTGGTGAGCCAGATCGTTGTGTTGGGTGAAAGCTGAGTAAAACGTTTGACTTGCTGTGTTGTCCTGAAGGTGTGTTGCACGTGAAGGAGACAATGATTACAATATATTTTATGTCTGAAGAATGACGTAGCTTCCAGTATTGTTTATATCTGAAGAATGACGTAGCTTCCAGTATTGTTTATATCTGAAGAATGACGTAGCTTCCAGTATTGTTTATAACTGAAGAATGACGTAGCTTCCATATTGTTTATATCTGAAGAATGACATAGCTTCCAGTATTGTTTATAACTGAAGAATGACGTAGCTTCCAGTATTGTTTATGTTTAGGAATGATGGATTAAAATAGTACTATATTACAAATGAGGTGGTTTTAGTCTATACAGAAGTTTATATAGAAAGAAGTCATCTGTATTGGTTATTAAACTGTCATATTTTATCCATATGAGAGAATGACAGACCCGATATGAAAACACACACACACACACACACACACACACACACACACACACACACACACACACACACACACACACACACACACACACACACACACACACGTATAGACAAAAAAAAAACAATTAAAGCCAAAGGAAAAGAGTGAAGACTGAGACGATGAATTTACAGGTATACACAAGGAGAAATATACATGTCAGATGATAAGCGTTCATTAGGATCACTCACTTGGGTTCACGGTGTTTAAGGCTTCCTCGTGGCCTGGGTTACACCTGCCGAGGTTCACTTAACATGAAACTACACCCGGAACAGACGTCCTCTCAACTTAACCTCTTGTATGGATGTCTTAGACTCTTATGGTTAGATGACATGAAGACAATATACGATTCACGTTGTCTTCACCTGTACTCATTATATAACACTTCTCACCTGAGCTCTTACTTAAGGTTTATATTCCTGAACTTATATTTATGTATCTTTCTTACGGTGTGTCAAGACTCAAGAAGTGGCCTCACACAGCAACACTCTACCATCGACTGTCATGGCTTTTGGTAACTCTGCCATGAGTGATGCGGGTGGTAAAACTCTCTCTCTCTCTCTCTCTCTCTCTCTCTCTCTCTCTCTCTCTCTCTCTCTCTCTCTCTCTCTGCATTTTTCTTTACTTTGTATGATTTTTAGTCTTCATTCTCTCTATATTATATATCCTTTACCTTTCGTCTGTTACATGATTGACTAAAAGCCTTCAACTAATATCCAGTCAAAATTTACTACGAATAAAACCCTGAAAGACTTATACCCAATTTGTCTTTCCTAATTTGCAAACATTTATTATTTACCCAAATTAACCCCCAAAACCCACGTCACAAGTTTTACCCCGACGCTCTCCACAAAATAATATTGAGCGAAGGAAAAAAAGATAGTGATAGGGAAATGTTTCCACCGACTCTCCCGAAATTTTGGCGGCCGGTGAGATATGTCAACATTGTAAATCAGGTTGAAAACTTAATTATATTTTTACCTCGTGCAGAACACCCACTCGTACGAGGACCCGCCACTTTTCCATAGATATTTGATTTTTGCATTCCTGCGCTACACACGTGACTCAAAACAGTTTTGGAAGTGTGTTTAATGTGGAAATGTTGCAGGACCCTGATGTAGTAGTAGAGGCTGTAAATATTTGTAATAGTAATCTTCAGTGTTCTTAGTCGTTTTGTTAAAGCAAACAAGCGAGAAGGCGAATGACGTCAATGATTTCCTACTTTTGTTAGTGTTTCAGAGTGGTGCTCATATATGTCGGTACACCACTAAACATAACAAAAGGGGGACGTCTCACTTGCGGGCGAGGATAAGCCTCCCTGTGTACGGAGGATGATGGACCCTCTCATTAACGTGGATGGATGAGCTTCAGTGTTGTACAGAGGTAGGGTGACCTTTTCTGCCCGGGGGAGATGATCCCTTTATAGGAACGGAGAGAAACTTAACCCCTCGCATAGGTGAGTGAAGACCTTATATAGGGAAGGTTCAGCTCTATACGTGACCTTCCTCGCGAGTCATCTTCCGTAAGACAGGATATGGAATCTGTGGCAACGAGACCGTGTCATTGACGCGAGATCAAGGCCTGAATGGAGAATGAACAAAAACATCCCGCAAGTGAAATTTTCTGCTCCTTCTGACAGTCTACCAAGTTTCAATGAGGTCCAAGTGGTGGTGGTAATAACGTAAGAATTAAGCCGTAACAGTATAGACGGTGGTACTGGGGCGTGAAGCGAGGCAAGGCTTCACTTTACTGAGTCGTTTGTTTCTGAAACGAAACTGACGACGAAACAGGACGGAACTAAAGCAAATTTGAACCCGTGATGGTTGATACAATGTATTTTTCACCGTGTATCATGACTATTCGGAATATTTTTGAGAATGAAACTGTTTTTCCAAATCGGCTGATCAGCTTCAATTGTTATTCGGACACTGTATGGCTTGTGTGCGGGCGTATATTTATATATAATAATGTATCACTATGGTGCGGGAGGTCAGGAAGCCAAAGGCATAATAACGATGTAATTACAATACCTCCACTACTAATTACTTTTATTAAATCAATGAACCCATAATAATAGCCTGTTATATATGTAATATTTATTCCCCTATTAATTACAGTTAATAAACATAATTAAAACATTGTATGATGTAGGGAGTGTACAGTGGTCATCAGGTGTTGGTGGTGAAGGTACTGCAAGAATGGCTTTTCACTAGAAATTTTCGCCTTACTATGAAAAATTTGGACCACCACTAACATAATCTTTAGTTAGGAAAAGTAATGACAACACTCCCGTCAAGTGTGAGCTTGATGGTGGCACACTGTACACTATAACTCACCACCAGAACGATATTAATATACATGATGGTGACAATTATTACTCCAATTTAAAGTTTACTGTCTACGTTATATAAAGCCATTCCTGCCGAGGTATACATGTTTATGAGTTTGTATGTCACATAATAATACAGTAATACATCTGACGTAGCATAATACAGTAATACACCTGTCATTTGTGTGGAATAAAAGATAAATGATATAAAATGGGGAAAAAACAATAATTTACATAGGACAAGATAATCAGGTCCATTTTCCAGACTGTGTGCAAGTAAAACATAACAGTCCAGACGTGTTAAATTGTTTGGAGAATAACTTTTAATGAGACGCAGTTAAATGGGGGAGATGGGGCGTGGACACTGACAGGCCTTGGTGGTGTGAATTCCTTCCTGATCGTGGTGATGGGGCTGGGTTAGTAGCGTCTAGAACACAGCATTTAGGATTATTTAATGATTTATATTATAGTTTATTTATTTTTTTTTTTTTAGTTATTCACATTATATTTTTTAAAGTTGAAATTAGAACATGTTTTATTCAGTTATACGGTGTTTAGATACAGGAGCTTGATGCCATTGAATATACCAGTATTTCTAGATATTCCAAGGTACTGTGCCCCCTAGATACAGGAGCTTGATGCCATTGAATATATAAGTATTTCTAGATATTCCAAGGTACTGTGCCCCCTAGATACAGGAGCTTGATGCCATTGAATATATAAGTATTTCTAGATATTCCAAGGTACTGTGCCCCCTAGATACAGGAGCTTGATGCCATTGAATATATAAGTATTTCTAGATATTCCAAGGTACTGTGCCCCGTTTCCACTCGTGACTCTAAACTATTGGATATTCCTCTGTATTTGAGAATATGTTGAGTGTGTGTGTGTCGGGCTGATTCATTTTTATTCACTTTTTTCTTGCATTCACCGCTTATATTTTGGAGTTGAAATGATATCAGGTTTTATTATTTTTATTGATGTCAAGAAAGAATCACCAGGTAAGAAACACACACACACACACACACACACACAGATTACAGAATTATTATATTAAACGTTGATTCAAATATTTCTCCTCGAATTGGGCTTCCATGCCAGTAGTAACATACGACCATTAAAATTTAATATTCCCATTGATACTAAGAGCGAATTTTCAGCATGTAAACTACCCCAGTCACCCTTGTTGTTGTAGGCGAGAGAAAAGTGACATCATATCACTTGGACAACAATTCGTATGATCGCAAGGGAACAATATTGGTGTTAGCACCCAGTTAACACCACCGCCAGTACTGCCACCATGAGGGCTCTGAAGCATAATGACGTCATCTTTGTTTACTGTTATACATTCTGGTGCCTATTGAGTGGGTGTACACAGTGGTGGACAAAATTCCCCGGACACATTTGGGTAATATCTGGCGTAATTATCTACCTGAGGGTCATCCAGGTAAGGAGAATTGGGGGTATTTTAACATCGATTTATTCAGATTTTTGTCAGTACCAGAATTTATTTTTTATTATTTTTTTTTTAAGTGTGACTCACCAGTAGCTACCAGATGTTATTATCAAGTGTTGAGGCAATTTTGGTCGTAACTGTACAATACACAAGGAGTCTGACAGTAGAATAAAGAGGAGAGACTTTACCTGCAGTGGACAGACAAGTTCTAATGTAGACAGACGTGAGACAGTGATAGACGGGGCCCTGTTCTTGATGGCCGTTATATAGGTCTTACTCACTTAACCTACTATTACTTACACATGAGGTTCCTCCTTATTATAATGTAAGTTAATTTTTTTAGGTACAGTAGTTACTTTTTTTTTTCCTTTGGTATAAAATATGACACCATTAGTTATGTCCTGTAACATCTGCTTACTGGTGTTGTAATATCGTAATTTGTCGTATCTTTGGTAAATAATTCCGAGCGTTATTTGTTGTTGGTTTTGAACAACTAATGGCTTTGAACACGTAAACCAACTATTAAAAGTTAAGGAAGATGTATTATTTGTTTATTAATATGGTATACTGCATTAATTCTCCAGCACCGGCCACTCACATACTGTACTATTGTCGACGTCAGGGGGGCTCAACCCATGGTCTGAGGGCTGCATGTGGCCCTCAGGGGGGTTTAGTGCGGCCCTCGAAACTACTAAAAAAAATTACATAAAAAATTAGATACATAATAGCTTTGTATTTAGTTCTTGGGGATTAATTTGAAGTTTTCTAATCAATAATCAAGCCTTTGTGTAATTATTCACAATTTGACATGGTTAATGCTTAATAATCACTATTCTTAATGTGTGGATTATTTACTTAATTTGTCTACATTTATTCACGTTAAGGTCAATGTGTGGTCCTCATGACACATTTGCCCATCTAATGTGACCCACTTACGCTAAAAGGTTGAGGAACAGTGTCATTAGTTCCCTACATACAGGACCTGGTATACAGTTCTTTATTTAGTCTACCTGTGATAGTATGTTATATATACTTAGTTTTATGTCTGTGTCGTAAAGTTATTGATTCATTCACTGTATAATAACAATATTGGTTTCTCCCCACAGACTCAGCGCCTGTACTGGAATACCGCTTTATAAGTCAGACGCTACAGCCGGGCCCTTCAGTTAGCTTAAAATGCATAGCATCAGGGGCACCAACCCCTCACGTCTCGTGGACTCTTGATGGATTCCCTCTTCCGCAACACGACAGGTGAGTAATGGTGGTATAGTTTGAGTAATGATGCACTTGTACCGGGATTAAATTAAACCAGCACTCTGTAATACAGGATAAATAGTGAGGTGAATCGTGTATTACCGTGATAGGTATGTTGGTACTCTGTGTGTGTGCGGGTCTGTGTGTGTGTGTGCGGGTCTGTGTTTGTGCGGGTCTGTGTTTGTGCGGGTCTGTGTTTGTGTGTGTGTGTGTGTGTGTGTGTTTGTGTGTGTGTGTGTGTGTGTGTTTATAAAATCTGTAAGTGACGGGAAGGTGAGGTGCGTATGACTCCCTGTATTGAATGTGTCATATTGACAGCAATTAGGATCAGTAATTCCTCCACAGAATTTTCGACAGATACTGTTGGAAGTAGAGGAGGCGGAATCAAAGGCGGTAACCTGGTGATAGAAGCTTACTTAATAATGCGAGGAGAGCGTATTGAGGGTGATAGTGCCTGGGGTTTACTGTCGGCCATAACCCTAACTCCTGATGACAATGACCGAGTTACTGCACATTTTCCTAGTTACCCTGACCCGCCCTCGTTGTTACCACCCACACACACACACACTCACACACTCACACACACACACACACTCACACACACACACACATACACACACACACACACACACACACACACACACACACACGCACACACACTACAAAACAAATGAATAAATCAGTTGTCAAATTTGTACAGTAGTTCACAAGAGAGAAATTCCAGCCGTAAAAGATACTCTCGTCTTAACCACAGATAACACATGATGAATTAAACTCTGTTATCAGAAGTTGTGTACACCAATACCGCTACAACTCCTCTCCCACCACACCCCCACACACAATTCTTTCCCACCACACAATTCTTCCCCCACACACACAATTCTTCCCCACCACACACACACATTCTTCCCCACCACACCCCCACACACCACATTCTTCCCCCACCACTACTCCACAACAATTCAAACTCAGTTATTTTTGTACACCCCATCCCCCACCCCACCCCATCCCCCACCCCCATCCCCCACCCCATCCCCCACCCCTTCCCCTCTCATCCCTAATCCATCTACAGGTACGGCGTGAAGCTCAGGGGTGACTCAGTGGTAAGTCGGTCACGTTGGTTGGTTGTCCTGGTGATATCTCAGGCGCATTTTAACTAGAAAACTGATATTTGGACACACTGTTGACCAAGTACTTTGTTTAAGATTAAGATTACAATATATTCTGTTATACAAGAGTTGCCAGCGTAACTTCCAGAAGAAGGAAACGAAAATGAAACGAAGAAACAACACCACCACCGCCGCCGTGAGTGTAAAGTCTGATGACGGCTCATGTTCAGGTAGCCATCATTACTGCCCCTCGTTAAACAATGACACATACATTGTTTTGATAATATGTATGTAACGTAACAAACTAAAAATGTTGGGTTTTGTTCGTGATGACTTACACGATCGTCTAATCTTCAATTGATCATCAAGAAATTTTGCATCAAAATAAATTAAACTTTTTTAGATTTTTATTTTTTTTTCCATTTGTGAAATTGTTTAGGGTTTTAACTTACCACTAGACCAGAACTGAGACACAGAGCCCCTGTAGCACGCAACACATCGCGGGATATCCTGGCCTCAACAAGTGGAAATTGTGGGGTCATGTGGAAACAGATTTAGGTCAAGGAATAAAGCCCTGAAGTGTGGTGGCTGTAAGACACTACCACCAGATATGTTTGTAAATATCAAGAGTTGCTGCATGAGACCCCCAGCACAGAGGAACCACAAGACCGAGAACTCAATTATTTTCCTCCTTCAAAAACAAAAACATACATATACAGTAAAATAGGTCTTGAGTACGGGCCAGTGAAGTAGAGACTGACGACGCTACAACAGAGGGAAATTGGAAGACGATGAACAAGACCAACACAGACGACAAATGTTTAATCTCAAATAAATAGCTCACAATGCCTCGACAACCCGGGGAGTAACTAAAAGGGGCTTCTACTATTATTTAGAACCATGGTGCAGTACCCGTCTCCACAACACCGGTCAGTTTATTGAAAATAGGACGAGAGAGAGAGAGAGAGAGAGAGAGAGAGAGAGAGAGAGAGAGAGAGAGAGAGAGAGAGAGAGAGTCAATACCGATGAAAACCACAACGATAATATCACCATCGGGAATATAAACCCGGATGACATAATATAAAACGATCAAGGTTATGTTTCTAGTAGTCCATAAACCTTCCTGAGGACAATAATAACTTAACCCTATGAGCATCTGAGTCACAGGCGCTCACATCAGGAGATATTAATAACAATAGAGTGAATTAATTTATCAACACATGCTGAAGGTGAAACACAACCCAATAGAAGTAAAACAAGACACAGTGTACATACCTTCAGACATTTCGCTCGACGCCTAGAGACGGAAATGACAGGTTAGGTTAGGTTAGGTTAGGTTAGGTTAGGTCAGGTTAGGTCAGGTCAGGTTAGGTTAGGTTAGGTTAGGTTAGGTTAGGTTAGGGAGTAGCGGCTGCGGTGAACACTATTCTATATATTTTGGTCGCAATAATAACAAGAGGCATTGGCTGACGAATAACAAGATCCACGTTTGGGGAAATCTCTTTACACCTGCCAATCACCACTGAGGTAACTGATGGAGATGGTTATTACTTCACCCATAACAGACTGCTATCAGCTCAAGAGGGGAGATATGGGGAAGATGAGTTTGAGGGATGTGTGGGTGGAAGGCTCTGTAGTAGCACTGAGGAACCGTGACTGAAGCTTAGGAAGGTTCGTTGAGGTGGTGGTAAAGGAATGTGAGCCCGGGGAGAGTGAGAAAGAGTGTGTGTGTGTGCGTGTGCGTGTGTATATGTGTATGTAGGTGCGCGTGCAAAAAAAAAAGCGTGTGTGTGTGTGTGTGTAATTCATTCAGCTAAGACAGTCACTAAAAGAAATTACCACCTTCAGAAGACACAACTAAGACACCCGGCAGCAGACACCCTCTATACCTTTATAATGTAACTGTTCCAAAGTGTTAAAAAAAAGGAAACGGTCAAATGTTATCAATTCCCGGCGGCATATGTGTTAGATGTGGTAGGTAGGTGTGGGAGGGTGTCAGGTAGTGTTGTGGCAGGGTGGTGGTGGTGGTGTCAGGTTGGCAGAGAGGTCGTGGCAGGGTGGTGGTGGTCAGAGAGAGTCGTGGCAGGGTGGTGGTGGTGGTGTGTAGAGAGTCATTGGCAGGGTGGTGGTGGTGGTGGTGTCAGAGAGAGTCGTGGCAGAGTGGTGGTGGTGTCAGAGAGAGTCGTGACAGGGTGGTGGTGGTGGTGGTGGTGTCAGAGAGAGAGTCGTGGCAGGGTGGTGGTGGTGTCAGAGAGAGTCGTGACAGGGTGGTGGTGGTGGTGTCAGAGGATATTACTAAGAGTACAAGCAAATACCTCGTGACAATTTCAATTTCGTTCCGTCGTTATTTCTGCCGAAGTTCAATTTATAGTTCAAACACCATTAGTGAGGATTCCCCTCCTGTTACCTGAAATATACACTATTTGATCTTTTGATTGTTGGTTCGCCTGTCCGCCAGGAAATGGAGAAATTAGACTTTTGATCAAGCCATCATCCATCCATCCATCCATCCATCCATCCAACCAACCAACCATCCATCCATCCATCCATCCATCCATCCATCCATCCATCCATCCATCCATCCATTCATCCATCCATTCATCCATTCATTCATCCATCCATCCATCCATCCATCCATCCACTTGCTCGATAGTGGACGCTCAAGGTTTATCAATAACATCAGTAATAATTTAAGATGATGATTATTTTCTTGTACTTATTTGATGATTGTGTTTGGCCATACATGACCAGTCGTGTAGGTTGGGTTAATCACTTGACCTAAAGATTACGAGACAGCGTGGGTAGATGATTGTAGTGCTGTAGATAAACGAGTGAGACATTGTTAGTAGTGTGAGTGAACCTGTTGCGTCATACTACCTCAGTGATGATATACTGTGTAAGTATATTGACTTGTGGGTTTACACCTATACAGCAGTTGTATGTAGGTGAATATGTTATTAAATGTAAACTTCCAAACTACTTTTCATACAGAAATTATGTACACAGTGGAAAGGTCTTGCATCAGGAAGTAACATGTTGGCAAAGAATAACACAAGTGTAGGTGTAAGACATGTATAGGTTTGGCAGAGGTGTAGGTGTGTAGCACAGGGATATGACACAGTGGTAGGTTTGATACGAATATGGAACAGGTGTAGGTGAGGCATAGCTGTAGGTTTGGTACAAGTATAGGTGTGACGTGTGACATAGGTATGGGACTGGTGTAGGTTCAACACGGGTGTGGGACAGATGTAGATCTAACGGGTGTGGAGTGGAACAGATGTGAGGAGTTAAGTAATCTGCTGGAAGACGAGTAAATCCCGCCTAATTCCCAGTTATTTTTTATTGTTGGAGATTCCCATAAAAAGCATAGTTTTATAATAATAATAATAATAATAATAATAATAATAATAATAATAATAATAATAATAATAATAACAATAATAATAATAATAATAATAATAATAATAATAATAATAATAATAATAATAATAATAATACGCTCGCGAAAACAACTTTATGGTTGTCACTCAGACGACGACATAGAACCCTTGTCCACACACGAGTTAAAATGACTGGTTAAGGTGCTTCACTTTATACTCAGTTTGTACTTGATTGTTTTACTTAATTGGGTCAAGTGACGCCACTCTCCGTACAATATCGACGACATTTTGGCCGCCACTTTTCACCACAGCTTGAATTAGTCAAGTCAACACTTTATTAACTCTCCCTTTAAAGGAAAATATAACTTGTGAACCTTTTGAGAGTCGTCACTAATGATGGCGGGAAAATTATAAACACACACTTGTACTAACTCCCTCCTCCGACCCCGGGCAACATTAGAGCGAGAATTAGAGCGAGTTCACGGGTAATGTGTTAGGTTCACTTAGTTTATAATCTATTGTTTATTTGTTTTATTCATTAGGTTTTCATATATACGCGATAACTGTTTCATCATCTAGTTTATGTCGTAGTAGTAGAGCAAGATAGTGGGTGTCTTTACATACCTGGACACAGTTAGGCTACCTCCTCCTCCAGTCATTGTTAGTAGCTGTCAGCCACATTCCCCGGGCCGTTCACTCTCAGCTTCCTCCGATACAACTAATCCAGATATAATAAATTTACTGCATAATACTGTCTTAACTCTTGTCTACCCGTCCAAGCCTCTCGCCTCCTTGCTACTTATCACAACCATCTCACATTTTTTCCATTACCAAGGCTCCGTGAATCATTATTTAATTCGTCTCTCCTCAGGTTTACCCTCGCATTTCTAACCTTCCTCTTCATCCACTATCATTCGCTTATCATCCACCGCCATTCGCTCATTATCCACCATCACACACACTTCATCCACCACTATTTACTCGTCATCCACCACCATTCGCTCATCATTCATCACCACCATTCACTCTTCATCCACCACCATTCGCTCATCATCCACCACCACTCACTCTCCATCCACCTGTTTACTTATATTACACGTGTGTTCTCCGACAGGCTGGTGGTGGGGCAGTACGTGGGTATGGGCGGGGCTGTGGTAAGTCACGTGAACCTGACAGGTGTGAGGGCGGAGGACGGTGGCGCCTACACCTGCGTCGCCTCTAACAGGGCTGGATCCACCTCCCACACTGCCAGG